CCCCGCCAATCCCTCCCATACATCTCTCGATTTCCCTTTCTTTACATGTGGAAAATTTTCTCAATACTGAATTTTGATGTGGAAAAAAACCCACTGAAGCGTGTGTGGGCAGTTATTGTGCATCAACATTTTGTATCAAAATTTCGCATCAAAATTGTGAGAAAAAAAATTTCGCATAAACATTTTGACGCTTTTTTGTGTGTTTTAGTAGAGGTTTTGCGGCGCTCGCAACTTCATAAAGTCATATGAGCCCCAGAAGATTAGGGGTGTTACAAGAGAGTAACAAAATTTTGTTTAATGAAGGGGAGACAAGGATGATAGAGGTTTGACGACAGGAATGAAGGAGCAAACCACACCAGAGCATCTGCAAACCATCCACACGCTTTTTTTTTTGAACGAGTACGGGCCCGTCCCTTTACTTACGGATCGTGGAGTCTGGTCTGGAGGTAGGATCTCGGACCTGTCGTGTGGACGCTTCTGAAAGACAAAGAGAAGGATAATAATATTATTATTGTCTGTTTGACTTTCTGTTTGTCTGTCTGTTTGTTTGTCGCTTCTGAAAGAGAAAGAGAATGATAATAATATTAATAATATTGTCTCTTTGTTTGTCTCTTTGTTTGTCAGTTTGTTTGTCGCTTCTGAAAGACAAAGAGGGTGATAATAATATTAATATCGTCTGTTTGTTTGTTCGTTTGTTACTGCTGTTTTGTTTTTAGAACAGTGTGGAGGCTTCTGAAAGACAAAGAGAATGATAATAATATTATTATTGTCTGTTTGTCGTTCTCTCTGTTTGATTCTCTGGGCTCCTGACTCTTTTTTCAGCCTTTCCACTCTTACTCTCTGGCTCCTTCTTACTGCTGTCTTTCAGCCACACCCCTGATCTTCTTATAGGAAAGATCTATAATCTAGCCTACTCGGACAAGGGCGAAAAATCTCGGAGGTCCCGTGTGCAAGTTGCGCACGTTAAAGATCCCTTGGTGGTCTAACATCGATAACAGTAGGCTTCGGCCGCCGCCCGGGCAAAGTTCAAAATTTCCTACCAACTGAAATTGAAATTGTTTAATGTGTCCCGCGCGCTCATATGACCTTATGCAGTTGCAAACCCCGTAAAACACTTACCACCCCCCGGCCCACCCCGCCCCCCACCCCCAAAAAATCCCACAGAAAAGAAGGAGGAGAAATAAGATCGATCTAGACATTTGCTAGGAAAGAAGGAGCAAAGCACACCAGAGCACTGCTGGGGTTTACATAAAGAGAACATGTATCAGATAATGTAGTCAATGACGTCTTCTGCGCGGGTCTTTGGTTTATTAAATTATAATGCACGTGTTAATATTTTTTGGACCAGACTAAGAGAGAGGGGGTGAGTGGATACGTAAGAGAGAGAGAGAGAGAGAGAGAGAGAGAGAGTG